CTATGCCGCATCATCTGTCCCTGACACCCTGACTCCCGCCTTCGTGCTGCACTGCCTTCAGTACATCTTGTTACATCCGGATCCTTACGCTGAAACTCCCGCCGTCGTTTCGTATCTCGCTCGTCCGCAGCCGCTAGCTTCATTGACCGGACATGTATAATCTCAACCTTGGCTTCCGGCTTAACTGCTCGCTTTTGCCGACCACCTTTTTCAGGACACTTCAAAGCGCGCCTACTGCTACCACAGCCGCTTCCATTTCCGGCCACCGGCGTATCACCATTGCAACGTGGTTCAGTGGCTTTCCTCCTGCCGGAAACACTGCCTGGCTCGCCATGACCACTTCCTTGTTGCGACCTCTTGTTCACTGAGCTGGCGGAACCGTCACGCTTTTCTTGTATCGGTGAACCACTTCCTTCTCCTGACGAAACCATTTCGTCTCCATCACTGTCAACCTCTTCCCAACTAACCACTTCCTTTTCTGGTGGAATCTTCGGCACTTCCTCTAAGACCAACCGTCTGCTGAAGCACTGGTTGTCGTAACCAACCCTAAGTGGCACTTTCCTGTCGCCATAGGTTAGGATCATTCCCTGGAGGTCAATCTTCATGCCTTGCCCAAGTAGGAAATCCACGCCGATGATGACTTCATCCAGTACTTCTCCTAACACTTGGGTTCGCTCACCAGTTGCAGTCTGCAGCTTTGCTCCAGGTAGTGGCTTCACATAAAAAGTAGTCACATCAGGTCGAATAATGGAATATGGCGCTCCAGTATCCACTGTCAGCACTCACTCCTGCCCATTCACACATCCACCAATAGTGAGGTTGCTCGCATTCCGGCCAATTTGTGAGACGGAGATTATGGGCCCTTCAACTTCTGGAGCCAGCACGCGGCCCTTCCTGCTGGCACGTTTTAGTTTAACGACTGATTGTAGTTGGATTCGTCTCCTTCAGTCCTGCGTTTGCGTACTGCTGAACTGTTTGACCTGTTGGAACCCGTCTTACATTCGCGTGCGAAGTGGCCTGGTTTTCCGCAACTAAAACATTTTCTAGCACCATCCTTCCTCTCGGTTGCACCTGGAGTATTCTTCCCTGCCATCGACTTGAGTGTTTTCAGGATCTCGTTCATCACGTCAGGTGTTTCCACTTCTACTCAATGGGCTTTGTAGGCTGGTCTACTTAGGAGCGCTGCCGTTTCACTTGTCTGAGCATACGAGACCGTTTCAGCAAATGTTGGCTTTGGATTTGCATACGTCTCGCGCTTGGTATACACGTCCCGCATTCCGTTGATGAACCTCTGGATTTTTACTCTTTCGAGGTGCTCACCAGATGCATCTCCAATTGCCAAATGAACCAACCTTTCAACCTCGGAGGCGAATTCCTGTAGAGTCTCGTTGGATTTCTGGCAGCGATTTTCCAGCTCCATCTGGTAAATCTGTCTCCTGTGCTCGCTACCATAACGTCTTTCCACTGCACCCATTAACGCATCGTAACTGTTCCTTCCACAATCAGGAATAGTCTGCAAGATTTCCGCTGCAGGTCCTTTTAATGCAACGAACAGTGCAGCGGATTTATCCTCCATGCTCCAGTGATTTGCTGTAGCTGTCTTCTCAAACTGGAGCTTAAAGACTTGGAAAGGAATCGTGCCGTCAAAGGATGGAGTCTTTACCTTGGGCGCGCTGGTCGAAGAAGGTGGGCGATTCAACTGCATATCTCGGAGGCGACCTTCCAACTCTTCTACCTTAGCCTCGACTTTCTCCTGAATTAGCTCTTCGATTTTATCTTGTCGTTCCTCGATTTTATCCTGTCTCTCTCTGAGTTCCGCGTTATTTTTAAATAAATTTTCTTGTAGCTGAGTAATCTTTTCATCTAGCTGCGATGACATGTACGTTTTCTGTGCTTCCAGCTGCGAGGACATGCGTGTTTCCTGCACTTGCAGCTGGGATGAAATCTGTGATGACAGCTGTGATGACATCTGTGACATGGCAGCCAATAACGTGTTCATGTCAATAGCTGTTGATGAACTTGGAGACTTTTGCTGTTCTTCAACCTTCCCGGATGTCTGCTGCACATCCTTCGACGAACAAGCAGCTTCATCCTTCTGTTCGTCCTTTGCGGATGCATCGTCGGATTTACCCTGGAAGTCGTATTTGTCCACGTCGATGCCTTCAGCTTCCATAGCCTCCCGCAAACGGGATAATAATTCCACTTTTCTTCCGGAGGTGGCCAAATTACGCTTTTCCAACTCCTGTTTCAGTTCCTCAATCTTTAAGTCCTGAATTTTCGCCATTTTCAGTAGTTTATCCTTCGGGATTTATTTAACAATCCCACTTCTGACACCAATTGTTACGATTATCCTTGAAACCTCGTCCGGATTTCCCAACTCTCTCGGTTCGTATCGCTGGATTGTTAAATAAATGCAATCGATGACCAAATTGTAGTACAATTAACTTTATTGTACAACAAACAATTTACAATACTTGCTAATACAGTAAAAACACTTTACAATACTTGTTAAAGCAATAACAACGCTTTACTACTTGTTAACACAATTAAACTTATAGCTTACTTATTCGCAACTCACTTCTCCGTTCACTTTACTTGTAGCTTGCTGACTTGTAACTCACTCACCTCGCGGTGGCGGCGCCCTTATATACCTGCGCTGGCACTTATGGCAACTCTAGAACATTCTGAAGTTTATCGCTCATTCTCTTTCTCTCGCTGTTCGCAGTGTTCATCCAACTTGACAGAGAACGTTTAAGCAGCAATTACGAATAGCCGTGTGAATTGTCAAACACTCCAAAATCGCTCTAGAAGCTCACCACTCGAATCGAAAATTGAGAGCGGCAAATTAATGCTTGAAATACAATACCGGCGAACGGCAAACTTCGCCGAATTGGGCGATGCTGTCGTTCACCGTTCGCCCAACTATTTCGCCTACTTAAACAGAATTAGAGCGGTAGCGAAAACAGCTGATCCCATTTGGTCGCCTTTATAATTTGGGTGACCATATTTAGAAAAAACTAAACCATATTTAGAAATGAGGAAATGATAACAAATATAAATGTAAAACAAAGAAAGATTATTATAAATAATTTGTTTCAAGCCAGATTTAACGAATCCACAACTATATTTTTCAAACAACAAAAAAAAAATCGTGTTTAGGTTGTTTTCTTTTTAAACTTTGAAAGCACAAAACAAATACGGCCACCTTTGGCACGCACAGCTGTCATCGCCCAGCAGAGCGATAGAAATAAATCTATCGCCATGAAACGCCGCCAAGCGAACTTCGCATTTCGCTTTGGCTGTGTTCAATTTCATATGCTTGCGGGTGTTCTAATTTTGACAGCGCGAATTTCGCTGTGGTGAGTTCGCCGTTCGCCGGCATTGTATTTCAGCTATAACAGATCTGAGCGGCAAGTTAACAGAGCTGAGCGGAGATACAATTTTGTTAAATTGTATCAATGTTAAGTACTTTGGTTTGGATTTTCTTTTTCGCGGCATTGATTTAATAAAAAAAAAGATTAAAATTCTTGGTTAAATTAATGAAAAGTAATTTTCGAAAATATATGCCAGGGAATGCTTTAACTCCAAAACGTAGATTTTTTATCTAATAAATAGGTGAAAGCTATGCAAATATGCAAACTCATTGGTGATTTGCCGTCGGCATTTGGGTCGCAAAAATCGTTTTTTTTTTTATAAACGTGCACGTGTATATATAAACATGCACAAAAATAACATTTCACAATTGCTAATTTATTCAAATTCTGTTATTTTGTGCCGCTCTGCGCTCACGCTGTTCAAAAATGGTGAACTTCTAGAGCTATCGATGTTAAAAATTTAAGGTGGTGAACTTCTAGAGGATTTCTGATCTATTACAAAATACCAACGAGTAGCGTGTTGCTGCTTCTCTGTTTTAAACGTTCTCTGATACATAAACATACAAATATGAATAGATAAACACGATTGAGAGAATACAAAGGTTGCGCCGATCTCGGACCGCTATTCCTCTCTTGTATTCTATCATTCTTGAATAGATAAAGATGTTAATGACACAAGGAGTTCATGCCAACGGTAAATGTTGTTTTTGTACGATTGCTACAAGCTGTAGTTGTTGAATCATGCGCTATCACCTGTAATTGATGCGCCTTGTCTGCCTACTAAACACTGTTGCCCATATGATTTCCAATGGAACTTTTTTCTGGTCGTTTCTGTCAAGGCGAATTTATATAACGTGGTGTTACTACATGATTCAATAATACAAGGTTAGATAATTATTGACAGCTGCGGTTTGACACTCCCTTACAAAAGGTTGCATTTACGAAGGACGGAGAAAAGGGGAGAATGAAATCTCTTGGTGCGAAAATGGTAGTAGAAAAGTACGCAAAGTAGGCAATTAGTAGTGAAATTCCTTTTGCAAATTCTAATGTTTTTGCAGGAAATCTATCATTTTAAACGAAATTTTGAACGTAATATTGATGTATCTATGTAAATTACGTAATTTATGTGCTATTTAGCTGTATAAAAAATGCCAAATGACTCAAAATTAAAATAAGACTACTATGAGATTGATGTAAACATCCCATTTAAAAACAGTTTATGTTTTCAACAGTTAAATATGCTTCATATGCATATACAAATAAACATATTGCACAAACGCTCATACCTCTATATCACACAAAGCTACACTGTTTCCATGTAAATGTGCAAAGAAGCAACACGGTGCCACTGCTAAGGGAGCGGTGCGAGAGAGACAACTGTCAGTTTATCGAACCTTGTATTATTGAATCATGGTGTTACTAGATCAGCTGATTTTGTGTATGGGTTTCGCCTCACGGCTTCTTATGTCAAATTGAAAAATTTTGTTTGAATTTCCACACACACTCTTACAGATTTTGCCAGTTTATGCCGCCAAAGCAAAAACAAAATACATGTAGGTTTTTGTTATTGTACTCCTGCTATCACCTTATATAAATTCGCCTTGGTTTCTGTCATGCTGATTTTAAATGTCATTTCATTCTGACAAGTGATAATAAAAGCCAGCGCCGTTGAGTAAAAATATTCCTTTTTCAGATCTGATATATTTTATTATTTTCGGAGTGCAATTTGTTTTAAACAATTTGAAATTGTGGTCGGAAAATGCTATCTCGTTTACTTCGGCACCGCACATTTACTCGCAGCGTTGGTAGCTTAGTGGCGCAAGAGCAGCATGCAAAACTTTATCTAACACGTTCCAATTGGCGATATGCAGCGCTACAGCGACGCTTCGACGCCAGCAGCGGCGCGTTGGTACTCCAAACGATGACTATTAACTCGCGTAAATATTGCACAAATCGAAAAAAAGATGAAGAGGAGGATTTGGAAGTAGAAACATCGGAGTACATTGTAAATAAGGGCCCTCAGTTACCGGCGACCGTGGCAGTGCCGGAAGTGTGGCCGCATTTGCCGCTGCTGGCAACACGTCGTAATCCAGTCTTTCCGCGATTTATGAAAATTCTAGAAGTGCGTTACGTAGGCCAATCCTGTTAAGAATTCTTTAACATACATAATTATTTTAAGTTATACATGCATACATTACTTTAACACGTGTTATATAATTTCAGGTTTCGAATCCAATGGTAATTGATTTGATAAGACGTAAGGTAAAGTTAAATCAACCGTATGTGGGTGTATTCATGAAAAAGGACAATGAAAATGAAGCGGAAATTGTTGAAAAACTGGATGATGTGTACAGTGTTGGTACATTTGCGCAAATACAGGAACTTCAAGATTTGGGCGATAAATTGCGTATGGTCGTTGTGGCTCATAGACGCGTTAAAATAACTGGACAGCTTTTAGAGGACCTCGTGCCTACACCGAAAGGTAAGAACTATAAATTTCAAGTTGAAAATTTCCGTATATAACGTAAGTGGGAAAGGAGAGTGCAACAAAATGAAGCTTACAAGCGCAATCTATTGATTAAATTTATTTATTATTATTTTTTGATTAAATTTTTTATTTAAAAACACCATGTATGTATATTACATTGTTGCATTCTAACGCCCACCATTAACCAACACCCTTAACCACATGCTGCTAACACAAAGCCTATCACTTCGAACACAAATTCCCTACAACCCAATCGAACCTTTCCCACTCCTATCATATACTTTGGTGCTCTTGTGACATTATGTATAAGAAAATATTTCGTCACAATGCTCTCCACTCAGAGAAGAAGACGACAATACATTTTCCACTCTTTAATGTAAAATTGAACATCCCAGCTGAAGAACAACAAAACGAATTGGAACGACGTAAATTGGCGCGCAAAGTGCGCTCGAGTCGTATATCCAAACGCGATGTTAGTCAAGGTGCTAAGGTGCCCCCTGAGAAAATAGAAGAAGTAGCACAACCAGCTGGCATTGCTGTACCACCTTCAGCGGGAACATCGCAAGTGCCACCAACAACTGGAACCCTCCCACAACCTGTGCTCATGGTTGAAGTGGAAAATGTTAAGCATGAACAGTACAAACAGACCGAGGAGGTTAAGGCACTCACTCAGGAAGTGATAAAAACCATCAGGGATATTATAACAATGAATCCTTTGTACAGGTAGCTTGAGATCAGATTAAATACATATATTGATTTTTAAAGAATTTATATCTTATTTTCACCACAGAGAGAGTTTGCAGCAAATGTTGCATCAAAATCAACGTGTTGTCGATAATCCAGTTTACCTGTGTGACTTAGGTGCATCGCTGTCCGCTGCAGAGCCTGAGGAACTGCAAAAGATAATGGAGGAAATGGATGTGAGTAACATCGTAACCTTTTGTATGGCTAGAGACACTCATTGTAGTATGGAATCAATATTACGATGTTTACCGCATGTGTGTTGCTACAAATCATTGTAGTTTCTAAGTAGCAACGGCAAACTACAATCTTGATATTATAATTTCTATACCACATGTGTGACCCAGGCATAAGTAACAAATTTACATTTATAAACCCGCGGCGCACCACATGTTAAAATGTTTTAAGAATTTCTTTATTTTTTGGTTACTTTTTTTTTTTTTATAAAAATACAGTTAATTAAACGAAATCCGAATAAATACATTTTCCAAACTTTCTAGCGGGGACCTACCGTTGAATTTTTCGCAATTTTGAATGGGCTACAAAACTTCACACTCAAAGTCTCCCTAATTAGAAAGCTAGAAATATTTACGAAAGATTATTGATTTTTTTTAACATTGCACAAAGTTTGAAACTGGCACCTATGCGGTCTAGTTAAAGAATAAACTATGCAAATTTTTATAAAAAAATAACAAACAAAAAATAAACTTAAAAACTTGCCAATTTGTGGTGCGCTTATAATTATTACACGGGGTATATGTATGTATATGCATATAGTATTTAACATTTCACATCTTTCAATTTCTATGCTGTTTCAGATACCTAAGCGCTTATTGCTTGCCTTGGCTTTGCTAAAAAAAGAGCTGGAACTTTCCAAATTGCAACAGAAAATTGGTCGTGAAGTTGAGGAAAAGGTAAAGCAACAGCATCGCAAATATATACTCCAAGAACAGCTGAAAGTAATCAAAAAAGAATTGGGCATAGAAAAAGATGACAAGGATGCCATTGGCGAGAAATACCGCGAAAAGTTAAAAGACAAAACAGTTCCCGAAAATGTCATGACTGTCATTGATGAGGAATTGAATAAGCTGAACTTCTTGGAAAGCCACAGCTCAGAATTCAAGTAAATACATAAAAACTCTGCTCAGGGCCTACAAAAATTATTTAACCTATGCTAATTGTTAACAGTGTTACGCGTAACTATTTGGATTGGTTAACTTCGCTTCCATGGGGCGTTACGAGTACGGAAAATTTAAGTCTGGAACAAGCGCAGGACATCCTAGATCATGATCATTACGGTATGGAAGATATCAAAAAACGTATTTTGGAATTCATCGCAGTAAGCCACTTGAAAGGCAGCACTCAGGGAAAAATTCTTTGTTTCCATGGTCCACCGGGTGTGGGAAAAACAAGTATTGGTATTAACTGCTATAATTATTCCTTATGGCTTTAAAACTAATCGTTGGCATTTTATAGCTCGCTCCATTGCACGCGCCTTAAATCGTGAATATTTCCGATTCAGTGTTGGCGGGATGACTGACGTGGCAGAAATCAAAGGTCATCGGCGTACTTATGTAGGCGCAATGCCCGGTAAACTGATACAGTGCTTAAAGAAAACTAAGACTGAAAATCCGTTGGTTCTGATCGATGAAGTCGATAAAATTGGCAAGTAAGTTGGCACGGAAATAAATTATAATATTAAAGTCTTTGCTATTAATTGATGTTATGTTTCCGCCTTACAGGGGCTACCAAGGTGATCCCAGTTCCGCATTACTTGAGCTCCTTGATCCCGAACAAAACGCAAATTTCCTCGATCATTACCTAGATGTACCCGTGGATTTATCTCACGTGCTCTTCATTTGCACAGCAAACGTTATCGATACCATACCAGAACCCTTGCGTGATCGTATGGAGTTGATTGAGATGTCCGGTTATGTCGCAGAAGAAAAAATGGCTATTGCACGCCAGTATCTGATACCACAGGCGATGCGTGACTGTGGCATAACAGGCGATCATATAACTATTAATGATGAGGCGTTAACAACGCTCATTAAAAGCTATTGCCGGGAATCGGGTGTAAGAAATCTCCAAAAGCATATTGAGAAGGTACGAAAATGAACGATTCCTATATCACTTATTTTCTAACGTTACTATCATTATAGATTGTTCGCAAAGTAGCCTATCGCTTTGTGAAAAAGGAAGGCAACCATTTCCCAATTACGGCTGACAATCTGACTACGTTCCTTGGGAAACATATATTCTCATCGGATCGCATGTACAAAGATACACCTCCCGGCGTGGTAATGGGTCTGGCGTGGACCGCAATGGGCGGCTCATCGCTCTACATTGAAACAGCTCCACGTAAAACAGGCAAACTCACAAAGGACGATGATGTTAGTGGTTCAATACATCTCACTGGAAATCTTGGAACTGTTATGAAGGAATCTGCACAAATCGCATTGACAGTGGCGCGAAATTACCTGCGTGATGTTAAGTCTGAAAATACTTTCTTGGAGAAAGGGTAGACGTCTATAAAAATCTATTCGTAGACTCTGAAAGCAATTTAAAAGCTTTATATTTTGTAGGCACATTCATCTACACGTTCCAGAAGGCTCTACACCTAAAGATGGACCTAGTGCTGGTGTAACCATTGTAACGGCGTTGATATCTTTAGCAACGGATCGTCCAGTACGTCAAAATTTAGCCATGACTGGTGAGGTGTCCCTTAAAGGACGAGTGTTGCCCGTTGGCGGCATTAAAGAGAAAACTATTGCTGTAAGTTTAACATGTTATTCTACATAGTGATAGTTAATAATTTTATATGTATATATTTTTCAGGCAAAACGCTCAGGCATTACTTGCATAATATTACCTGAGGAAAATAAAAAAGATTTCGCTGAGCTACCTTCCTACATTACCGATGGTATTGAAGTGCATTTTGCTACCAGCTACGAGGACGTATATAAAATCGCTTTTCCCAATTAGTCTTCGGGAAGAAAGCGTTCTCAGAAACAAAACCAAAATTGCGAATTAAACGATAAGTTAATGCTAAGCATTATACGAATACACCATTACTCGTATCTCTATTTTTAAATTGTAATTGTTTTAAAAATATACATTCATAATAATGTTATAGGTTAGTTACTTTAAAACTGTTTTATGAAAGCAAATCCTTTAGCGAGTATTGAAAAATTTTTTATTTAATATATTACTTTTTAAGGACACAACTAAGATGTTTTAACGACATTAAATATCCGAATTTTCGAGTATCCAATGCATATAATGGTTAACGCTCGTATACATGCCAGGACGATTGGCTTCACCGCAGCGCACACCCCAAGAGACAATACCGACGGTGACCCAGCGACGATTGGGCAATTGTACCAATAATGGACCCCCACTGTCGCCTTGGCAGGAGTCCTGCCCGCCTTCACGAACGCCAGCGCACAGTACTGTATCCGGAATGCGCTCAACCATCGCTTTTCGACAGTCGGAAAGTTTCCAAATTGGCAGCAGTACCTAAGGATATTGAAAGCAAATGGAAAACAATGAAACCAATGCTATACGACTGTTTACCTCCATAAGAATATTCGAATGGGGACCGGCAAAAGTTTGTGTACCCCAACCAGTGACTACGCCCACCTGTCCCTCCCAAATTTGATTAATAGGGGGCATGCAAACTGGCCAGATGTATGTGTTAAAGAGTGTAGCACGATCCAGACGTAGCAGCGCAATATCATTCTCGTAAGTTAGCGGGTCGTAATCGATATGTATCACCATATTCGCAATGCGAAAATCACGCGCACGAGTCTCATTAACCAACAACGTATTATATTCGCCCAAGCGCACAAATATATCATCTTTATTGAATTTGTGGACGCAGTGTCCTGCTGTAAGGACATGGCGATCAGTGACAAGCACACCTCCGCACCACACATATGGCAAACCGGGACGTATTAACGCAGCCATCCACGGCCATTCATCCGGTTCCGCTGGACGGCCGCCCGTAATGCGTGGAAATTGTTTGGTGGTAAGTCCGCAACCTCGTTTCTCGGGCTTGTTGACAATGCGTGCCTCCTCCAAGCCATTATTGTTAACATCAGCAATAACTTGGGGACTGGAACGGTTCTCGGTGTTGTCAGTGCAACAGACGCCTATAGACCTAAAAGGAGAATAGCAATGAATTTATTTAGTTAACAATAAAAGGGAAAAATATGGATACTTTTGTTCAATAATGCACAACTGCGAGATTAAGCGCCAAACATCGTCTTTCAACTCAGGTATGCGGCAGTAGAGTGGGTGTCGGCAACGGCCAACCTCTCCCAACGAAGTGCGGCAGTCACCGTAGTCTTTGTTTTCCTATATAAAGTAAATGATATACATACATACATACTATATGTATATGTATGTACATACATATGTAAGTATGCGAATTTTCATTGCTGCATGAAAACCTGTTTTCTTCGTTGCACTTTCAAATCAATTATTATGTACATACATACAGTGGCGTTCAAAATAATAGCAGCAAAATTCAAAATGATGCTGTTGGCAACTTACCAACCACATCAATAAAACTTTTAAAGCTTACACAAAGTTCACAAAAACTTACTAAACTAAAAAAAATGTTCATCGAAATTTCGAATTTTTTTAATTGCAAGTTTCAAGTCGCTAAATATTACCGTTGATTTTTTAGATTTTGTTTCGCGGAGGGTGTTGCGCATTTTCTTCCATATAACGCATGAACAAAACTTCTTTTTGTATGGAAGAAATGCGCAACAAAAATTTTGTTTTATATGAAAGAAAGAAGTTCTGCGCAAAAATACTTCCTCCCCTCCTTTCCGAACGCCGCCTACACTAAAAGAAGTTCTGCGCAAAAATACTTACTCTCCTCTTTTCCGGCAACACAAAGGAGAATTCTACTTATAATCCCTAAGCTTGGCCGAAGGTCGCCTACGCAGAAAGAATTATATTTTTAACCGACTTCCAAAAAAGGAGGAGGTTATCAGTTCGTCGGAATATTTTTTATATATTTTTGTTTTTATTTATTTTTTTTATTTGTTTTTTATTTTTTATTTTATTTTTAATTTTAATTTTTTTATATTTTTTATTTTATTTTTAATTTTAACTTTTTTATATTTTTTATTTTATTTTTAATTTTAACTTTTTTATATTTTTTATTTTATTTTTATTTTTTTTATGTATGTTACCGCATAACTTTGGACCACGTCAACCGATTTCGATAATTCTTTTTGCATCGGAAAGATAGTGTCTGAGGTGGTCCCATGCTAATCTGGTTAAGATCCGATCAGTGGATCATGAGATATATATATATATATATATATTTAATTTTTTTATATGAGAGTGGAAGTCGGTTTTTTTTTTTGCTTAAAATTATATTATCTTATTTCGCTTTACAACTTATAATCCATTTATAAATGGGGCATAAATAATTTGACCAACCGTACTTCTTTCGGAAGTACAGTACTTCTTTTTTCGCTCTTGTACTTCGTACTTCGAATGTACAGTCAAATGTACTTCTTTGCGATACTTTGTTCTTCAGGAGGGAGATTCTGTAACCAGTGAGCGACAGTTTTCGGATCGCTATCGCACTTTTTGACGCATGATATACATGTTTTTGCGTCAAAAAGTGCAATAGCGATTCGAAAATTATAGCTATCTGGTTACAGAATCTCCCCCAGGTCCTGTACTTCTCCGATCTTCTGGACGATCATCACATGGCATGGGCGATAAATTCGTTCAAACCATTAAAGTCACCGGGGACCGAAACATCATGCCTGCGCAGCTGCAAAGGACTCTGAAGGTGTCGTGCAATTGGTTGGATCCTACTTATGTGAACTGGGGGTACATCCCAGAGGCTTGGAGGATAGTCAGTGTTGCGCTCATCCGGAAGGCCCCTAGGGTTTTTAGGCCTATCAGTCTCTTCGTTTTTTCTAAAATGCTGGAGAGACTGATAGACCTGTTCATATGAAAAGCGATTCATCGCGACTGTCTTTCAAGACCTCGACACATTGGTAAAGTGGTCAGTGGAAGCCTTCACACATGAAGACTATGCACTAGGGGCCTTCTTCGATGTCGAGGGGGCCTTCAACAATGTCACTCCAGAGACAAAAGTATATTCATAATCTGGGGGTTGAAACCAACCTAATAAGCTTACTTCGTGACAGAACAGTCGCGGCGGAGTGGTGGAGCGCCTGCACTCAGTGAAGAGTCAATAGGAGCACTCCACAAGGAGGTGTTCTCTTTCCCCTTCTCTGGATTGCGGTTGTAAACGACTTTCTAGAGGAACTGGAAAAAGTGGGCTGTCGTGTGATCGCCTATGTAGATGATGTAAATCTTTTGGTTAGGGGACATTTTTTTACACCCTTTTTGATCTGGCTCAAGGTTACCTGAACCAGGTAACTATGTGGGTTGTTGTTGTTGCAGCGGCTACAACAACCCCGCCCAGATCGGTTGATATCTCAGTCGTTGTCGTCGAGTTCCACTAACGGCAGCCCCAGGAAGCGTACAGCCTCTATGGGGTCACAGGGACGGCGCCGTTAGGGCTGTGGGGGTTTCCGGGCATGCCGGACATTCATTCGGCACATCCGCATTTAGCCTACTCAGGTAGGAGTTTAGCCTGCTGCAGTAGCCAGAGCGAAATTGGGCTATTGTTGTTCTGGTCTCCCGAGGCAGATGGAGCTCCGTCGCGTCAATGTCCGGTGTTTGTGTGCCTAGAACGGCATTCACAGGTCTAGAGTCTACATGACTCGAGGCTGCGTTCCTGTGAATGCCGTTCAGGGCCTTTCTGTAAGCTGACGGGTCCAGAGGCTGCTTAATGAACCTCTGGACTTCGTTCGTCAGTGCATATAGATGCCTCCTGACGTGCCTTGGCGAGGGCTCCTCTGCAAGCAGCTGTCTATTTGGGTGGCCACATCTGTGGCTCCCAACCAGAAACTGCTTGCAGAGCATTGTGTTGTGCTCCCTAATTGGGAGCATTTTCGCCTCATCATGGAAGTGGTGTTCTGGTGGCATTAGGAGGTATCCGGTCGCTGCCCTGAGTGCTGTGTTTTGTGCTGTCTTTAGCTTCGTCCACTGCGTCCTACTAGTCCCCGGCGACCACACTGGTGCTGCGTAGTTTTAAACCGGCCGGCCTATTGCCTTGTATGTTGCCAGCAACGTTTCTTTGTCTTTGCCCCAAGTACTGTTCGCTAGCGACTTGAGGACCTTGTTGCGGCTCTATACTTTATTGACAATAGCGTGCGCAGAGAAGGAGAGCAGGCTGTTGAATTTTACTCCGAGTATTTTGGGATTATTCACCGTCGGAATTGGTGTGGCATCGACGTAAATTCCCAGCAGTAGCCTGACACCCTTCGTCCAGGTTGTGAACAGGGTCGCAGAGGATTTCGTAGGGGAGAGGGCTAGACACTTTGCAGTGAAGTTCGGAGAGATACCCGTTTACTTTCGAACACAGGTCATCAATTCCATTCCCAGTCGCCATGATCGAGCAATCGTCGGCGTAAGAGACAATCGAGAATCCCTCTGGTGGTTGAGGGAGCTTTGAAATGTAAAAGTTAAACAGTAGCGGGGAAAGGACACCACCCTGTGGAACCCTCTGTTTTATTTTTCTAAGTTTGCTCGATTTGTCTGTAAACATTACCGACGAGTGTCGACCACTCAGTTAATTTGCCGACCACCGTTTGAGCCTCTGTTGGAGAGAGGAAGCCTCTATATCTTCTAGTAGCGTGGAATGGTTGACAGTGTCAAAAGCCTTTGACAGGTCCAACGCTACTAGAATCGTTCTCTCACAGGGACGTTTACGGTTAAAGCCACGAGTTATCTGAGTGTTTATGGCGTTAAGTGCTGTTGTTGTACTGTGCACTTTACGGAAACCATGCTGATGCTTCGCTGGGGTCAGGTGGTTCGCGAAATACGAGAGCATCAGGTCCTCAAGTGTCTTCGCTACCGGGAAAATGAGTGTTATCGGTCGCTACGAATCTCCTTTGTTGGCGGGTTTCCCCGGTTTGAGCAGTGGGACCACTCTCCCCACCTTCCAGATGTCTGGGATGATGAGAGTGGCCATAGACAAATTGAGGACCTCCGTTAGGTACGCTACTCCCACAGGTTCCAAATTTT